AAAAAAAAAAAAGCAATGTGAATGCACTGAAAAGTAAATATTTCTGAAAATGTCTAAACTTAAGACAACAGGTCACATGTATTACATGGTAATTGCATGTATGTGTTAATTAGTCAGATCCATCTACAAGAAAACAATAATGATTAAAGACTAAATCCAATCAAATGCTGAATTACTGATAACAGTTAACGAGTAGCACAAACAATCATCCTGAATAAAACAACTACTGGCAGTCTTAAGAACTAGTAATAAAAGTGAAGTGATTTAACAGTTTGATGAGATCATCTTAGGACAGGGTGGGGGTTCAGCAGATAACACCTCCCCCTGAAAATCTTTCATATTCCTACCGCACAGATAACATAACTGTCTGAGTCACACTTCTGAGTCTTACATCAGAGGATTTTTTCTTCACGGTCTGCATGTAATGAACTATTATAACTGCGAATTTCAGAAGGTCACAATGTGTACTTCGAGCATGGCTCCTATTAGCATATAAGCATCCACAAATCTGCTAGCATAGTCTCTTTTCACTTGCATTGCAATATTTGTTAGTGTAAGTCAACTTATTAGCAGTTTGCAGGTAAATTAATAAACCGGTGATATTCTCCCTTATGGAAAATAAACTGTGGCCTAATTGTTAACTAGCCTTCCAAATTAAAGCATATATATTCAGCAATGAAGGCGTTTTTTACATCTCTGTTTTATAATTCATATAGCTATAAGGTTGTTTACATGCCAGCCTCCACTCTTCTTGAAAAACACATCAAGCTAAACCTTAAAAGCTATAATTTTATTACTATTTTGCATGTTTCTGCACTTCTTTAATGTGGGTTTTGTAAGTAAAGTTTACTAAAATAACTGCACGATGTCGCTATTTGTCACCATGAGCTTCACTGTAATCCACAACCTGACAGAGCACTGCTCCGCTCAGCTCCCCCAAATCCATTTTCGAACCGCCTCGTCATACCTGCCCACCCCCGCCGCTGTGGGGAGGTCGGGACTCCCTCTTTTACTGCCGCTGCCGTGCGTCTTCCCGTCAGTGCGCCAGCAGACCGCGCAGAGCGAACAGCGCAGCGCCACGCCGACCGTGTGTCCGTCACAGAGCTCCACACCTTCACTGGATTTCAAAGACAACAACAGCAACAGTGGATAAACTGAGCGAATGTGGTGAGTGCGGACAGAACTACGGCTTCCACTGCTCGGTTTTTAATAACATTTTTGTGCTGACGGTGATTTATGACATGTTGCGTTTGGAAGTTTACCGATCAGGCTGACTCGGACAGGAATCGACCATCGAAGTGATTATTTTGTACTCTCAGTGAGTTATTTTAGTAAGCGTGCAGTTACGGGTTAAACAGATGGCAAAGAATAAACAGGCTTTAAATAAGTCGGAATCTATTATGGGTTCCTTATTATTCCTTAACTAAGAATCCAGAGACTCACCTCCCAGATAGCACTTCTGAGGTATTCTTGGATTAAAATAGGTTAAATATTAATAATCCTTAGTAAACAGGGTGTGTGCTTTCCTTTTTATATTTACTACAGGACTTCTTCAAGTCAAGAATTATGTCTGGAAACTTTATGATGTGTTGTTTGGCTTTTTCTGTGATGGACATCTGATTCTAGGTAGCTGTTTGATAAGACCATAAACATTTTTTTTTAAGTTGGCAAGTGCATCCATTGATCGTGTGCTCTGTAAGCCCTATATGTGGACGCCCTGGTTTAACTCAACCTTGAAGTCCAGCTGATAATAACTGCAAATACCACCGGCCTGGAGCAGCAGGTCTTTGCTTAGCTTTGATCTGCACTGAATATTTTCATCTGGATGAAATCAGGAAAATTGCCCAAATGAGGATCTGGTTTCCAAGCATCTAATCAGCAAAGACAAATTTTGTAACCCTAATAAGTTAAGGGGTTTTTTTTCTCTCGTAACCAGCCAATCATTTGAGACCACGACTAAAACTATAGGAGCTCATTTTAAAGACTAAGACGGTGCTACTTGAGAACTTTCAAAAGAATAGGAAAAAAAAGTTGGGGAGGGGCATTATGCAATCCACCCACTCTAAAGTGAAAAAACGGTCTCTTCCAAGGAGACAATCACGTGCCCTCAGGGTCACCTCCACCTTGACCCACCTCCACCCCTGCAGCTCCACCTCTCTTCATAAGGGCTCAAGCATCCTGAGTTGGTTTGATCAGCGTGGGGTCAGGAGCATAAACAACTTAACAGTCAGACTAAACAGACCACACATGTCTTGTAAACACATTCGGATTCATAGGTGAGCATGTGCCGGTTAGGCCTGCGATAAGTGGCTGGAGGTTTGATTCGTGCTTTTTGATGCAGCTCAAATGTTGCTCTCGCTCGTACCTTCTCACAAACACGCTCGGAGCTTTTCGTGGCCATAATGCTGCTGCTGAGCACACTGTGAGTTTTCCTCAGCAGATGTGCTAGCCCTCCTCTCTAACTACTTTAAGGATGTTAGCGAAGATTTAAATATGAGACAAATTTTCCACACAGTCTTTGGTGAATCACTTTCCAGGCCTTCTATTCAATAGGTAGATTGAGCTCCGTCTCCTCCCTACCTTTCACTACCTTACACTTTTGTTTGAATCCCCGAATTCCGTGCTGAACCACGCTGAACCGTGCCCAACGGCTACGGTGATTCATAGGTCTTAAACGCTTACTGACGACATCAATCTTTCAAACCGCATACAGACGATTCAGTGCGCGGCGCAAACATCTCTCTGACTGAATACCTGCTTGCAAAATTACAGTGCAGAGGCGGTCGTAAACAGTCGCAGTTTTGTGCCTGGATTCATGTGGCAGTGTGCTAATTTTCCAGCAGTAATACAGCTGCATCTGTGTTTGATGCTGATCCCAGCAGAGCAGACAAGAATACATCCTGCAGTTACAAAGCGGAAAGAGAGCCCAGGGGCGCTGAGCTGCTCACTGCAGTCTCCGTCTGAGGTGTTGACAGGAGCCCTGACATCATTAACATGACTAAATAAAATGTGATTTGGGTCTTTGCCTTCCCGCTTGGCTCGTAGCACCAGCAGGGATGTTTATGATGATGGTGTTATTGATGCAATGCGTAGAGGAGCATGCAGACTCATGTTCACTTTCTGACTTTTGAGAGAGTTTGGTTTGACGTAATGTGCATGTTCACAATATGAGCATTTAAAAAGGAGCTGAGATCCAGCATCTCTCTGCAGCATGGGTGAAAAAGTTGAGCCTATATCACAGGACAGCTAGATTCCTCATCTTTAAGTCTTTTATTTTACAACTTTCTCCGTGTTTTGTTTTTAATGAACAGAGTTGGTTTTTTTTGTCGAGGCTGCACAAGTGCATAATCTGATTGAGTTTTGACCACATTATAGCTGAATGCAGAGAACAAGCGGAAGCCGCAGGATTTTTCATGGTTTTAGTTCACAATGGGCCACTCATGTGTTTCTTATCAAAATTCAAGGCTCGGTTTTGCTTTCCTGCAGAGCCGGGCTTGAAAACGCAGCCTTTTAAGAGGCCATGTCAAACATTTGTTTTCTTTAAACCCTGTTTTGTTGCATGTAAAGACCCCCGAGTTACGGCGTGAAGCTTGAGTTTCTAATTAGAGGGGAAAATGTGCCCTGCTAATGACATCATCTTCCCCCTGGCACTGCGTTAAGTGACTGTGTGTGTGTGTGTGTTGTTTCACAGCAGCTGGTTTTAGACATTTGACGTTTACAACTGTGTGAGACTTCAAACACTCTCACACAAACCGTCGGGCTTATAATTTAGCTTTTATTGCTCCTTGTCGCCTTGTTTGGGCCGTTGCGGCAAAAGTCTCTGGGAACAGTTTTCAGGAGGAACTGCGTGTAAGAGAGGAAGAGCTTGTCGATTAACTCAGCTTCTAAGTTACATCCAGACACAAAACAAACCTTTTCAAACAGGCATGAAGTTGGCTGAAAGGAGAAGTGAAACCTACCATCTATGTAGCGAGCTTCTTCTCTTTTGCAAACTAGTGTGGAATCATATTCACAGAAGTATCAATTTGATGTATTTTTCAGGCTTTTTTTGAGTCTTTGCACTTAATTTTTTGACATAATGATTATTATAATCAGTCTTGCCACTCTCCGAGACCTGAAAACATTACATCGCTTCCATCTCCACGGCCTTCCAAACTCAATTTATAATTCATTGTGAGCAACGAAATCATGAAACATGATCTGACAGATCTCCATCTCCTGACGGTCCCCTGTGTGTGCGTGGGTGACAGCTGTGAGAGCGGCCCTTCTCCCCGCTGCTCTCACATCCCTGTAATTGTTCACAGTCCGACTGGGCGCCTCTGTAGCTCTGCCACATCCCATCACACTCAGCCGTGCCACGCTGTGTCCGCTCGACCGCGAGGAAGACGACACGAGTCTGGACATTCCCTCTGACAGAGGAGGAGGCCGCCGATGCAACTGCACGGACTCTTCCAGATGTTTTCTGATTCTGACAGAAGCGAGGGAGGAGAGGAGGGAAGAGGGACAAATCGAAGGCTGTCTTTCCGTGGCACTCGGGGTGCTGTTAGTGGGGAAGCAGGTCGGTTGATCGGTAATGAGAGAAGGCAGCTGGCAGGTTCAGCAAAGGTTAACAACTAAGTATAGATGGCAGAGAGGACAAACAGAAGAGCTTAGTGTAAGGTCTTTGTGTGGGAGGCTGTGGGTGATTCTTGCAGTTTTTAAGGAGGAGTTACCTCATTTTAGTGAGTTTGAAATAGATGAGTGTTGGATTTTGTGGCATCTCACACTGAATATTTCAAAGTTATCTGTCCTTTTCGTGGTTTCTTGGGATTGGACGTGCATGTTTTTAGCACGTGACGTTTCTTTTAATGGCCTAGTTTCTCACTGGGTTTCAGTAGACATCACAAAGCTATAAAAAGATCTCTTTTTAAAAGTTTTTGTGGCAGTCAGGATTTAGCATTTGCAGTATTTCTAGATTTAGGGGGTATTTTGCTTACGTTTCGAGCTGTGTCAGTCAGATTAAATCAAACTGCACCCACACATTCCTGATACAGCCGTCTTGCTGCATTCGCTTTTTGACTGCTCACCCCTAAATAATTAATGATCACTGTTAAACACTGAATATGGGGGATTTTAAACCAGGGATTTTCCTGGCTTAAAGCTGAATTGGATGAGCAGCCTTCAAGTATCCAATCACCAGAAGTGTTTGAGAAAGTTTACATTATAAGAAGAGGCATGCGGAGCGTTTTATTTCAGCTGGAGTTGCAAACTTTTGCGCCCCGCTGCGTTGATTGCAAATCAATGCTGACACATTTAAAGTGGTGGAGAGTGTGTGGGGATGCAGGAGGAGGAAGTAGATGGGCTCGGGGACACCATAGTTACAGATGACCCAGTGTTTGGGGACAAGGCACAGCTGGAGACGCTTTAAGCCTTAACCGACCCCAAACACTCCTGTCACAAGTACTCACAAGTTAGTGCTAACCTTTTACCGCTAACATCAGCAACATGTGTTTAGAATACTTCTGCAAGGGTTTCGTGAGTGTCCTTTTAGCAACCCTGTGTGTGAAAAGAGGGTGTGGTTACACAGATGCTACTCTGGCTGTCTTTCCTTTTACTTTAACTTGGAGTTCTGGATTGAGTTGCTGTTCGCTCATATGTGGCCCCTGCGCTCTCACACGGCTTTAATCAATTCTTGTGCGCTCTTACTCATCTAGCTGTCAGTAAACTCTTTTAGTCAGTTGTTGTGGAGAGTATATTTCTGCACTGTTTCAGTCAGCAAAAAGGCAGGTAAACCACTGTTTGATGTAACACCGCTTTTGACTTTTTAGTTGCTGCTAAAGCCTCTTTTGTCGCTTTGGTGAAGCCGACGTATGCCTGGCAGAGGGAAAAATGTGCCGACTTTGTGAAATAAAACATCTGGCAGTTGGCCAGACAAAGCTGTCTCTCAGAGCATTCACACCAGCTGAGAGCTTAATGAGGGTTCACAGTGTGAGAACACTGCTTCATAATTTAAGACTCTGGGAGATTGAGGGACATGTCCAGATTTATGCCTCTCTACTGTACTGTATAAACAGCCTCCGGGCAGGCTTTTATTCGGGGTGGGGGGCTGTGTTACCCTGAGTTGCACAGTGCATTCCCAGTCCAGGGATGTGCCGCACACACACTCGCACACACACACTAGGTCACAG